CCTGCCTCTGCCTCCTGAGTGCTGGGATTAAAGGCGTGTGCCCTCAATGTCCAACAAAAGACCTGCCAGACATGGTGGCACACACCTTTGATCCCACTGTGCAGGGTCAGAGGGCAGAGGCAGGCAGATCTCTAAGGCCAGTCTGGTCTAGTTCCAGAACGTGTTTCAAAATAAAAATAACCTGGGCAGTGGTGGCTTACACCTTTAATCCCAGCACTCAGGAGGCAGAGGCAGGCGGATCTCTGTGAATTCGAGGCCAGCCTGGTGTACAGAGAGAGTGCCAGGACAGGCTCCAAAGCTACACAGAGAAACCCTGTCTCGAAAAAACCAAAAAAAAAAAAAAAAAAAAAAAAAAAAAAAAAAAGATAAAGGTCATAATCATTGTTTTTGGAGAAAATACGGTAATATCTGAAGACAATATAAATAATACAAAGTTGCACTGAGTAATAGTTTCTTCATATACGTGGTATTTTAAAAATCTTGTAAATATACTTTAAAATCCTACTTGCAGTTACAACATTGCTGAACAAGCATCAAAACATATAATGTTAATACCATCAAAACAATCATCATTGGTACTTGATTGAATCAGAGAATACACGATTTTTTTTATTATCATCTTTTTATCTTTTTCTTTTTTTTACAAGATTTTATTTATTTATTGTGTATACAACATTCTGTTTCCATGTATATCTGCACACCAGAAGAGGGCACCAGATCTCATAATGGATGGTTGTGAGCCACCATGTGGTTGTTGGGAATTGAACTCCAGACCTCTGGAAGAGCAGTCGGTGCTCTTAACCTCTGAGCCATCTCTCCAGCACCCCCCCATTTCTTTTTTTCTAATTTATTTTTATTTTATGTGCATTGGTGCTTTGCCTGCATGCATGTCTTTGTGAGTGTGTCAGATCTTGCTTGGGATTACAGACAGTTGTGAGCTGTCATGTAGGTGCTCCTAAGACTGAGCCATCTCTCCAGCCCCTTTGTTTGTATTGTCAACCCAAAGACTTTTCTGCCCTGGCAGTTTTCAAAAACTTCATTTCTTTATTGCTTCTAGTTAGTCTCACTGGATTATTGTTTCATTGGAAACACAACTTTTTGCCCCATAAAACTGCAGTGCATTTCCTACACACAGGCAGAGTGTGGGGAAGTGCACTGAAAAGCACTAGGCTCTTGCCTCAGGAGCAAACCCAGGGCACACAGCATGGTTGCTGTCGAGGAGACACCACTCCCACAGGCACATTCAAGATGCTGGCTTAGGACGGCATAGACTTAATGAGTATTTTTTGGAGAAGACTTGCAAAACGAAGTCATGAAGAGTAAGGATTTCAGGCAGGGATCAACAACGTTTACATAGAGTAAGCAGGTGAACCATAGCACCTACAGTATGTCTCCCTTTTTCATTTGAAGATGGTACAAGTTTTCTTTTGACATTTCATGGTAATGTATCAAACCGGTCACAGATAAGGCCAACATTCTACCACTGAGCTTATACGCTGCTCAGCCCTTCATTGCCATATGTGCGGATGCCATGGATGTGTGTTCATATATGTGGTGTGGTTATCTGTGTGGGTGTGTTCAGAGGCCAGGGACAGACACTGTGATGTCTTCTTCAGTCTTTTCTCTACTTCCCGCCCCCCTTCCTTTTGGAGACAGTGGCACACTCACTAACCCTGGAGCTCACCCTTCAGGCTAGCCTGGCTGCCTTGCAAGCTCTCCAGACCCCGTGGTGTCCACTCCTCAGCTCAGCACTGTAATCACAGCTGGAAGTGCCCTGCACAGCTTTACAGGGGCCTGGGCGCAGCAAGCACTTTACCCTTCATGGTTACTGCAATAAGCCTATTGCACCTAACATGCCAATGTTTACTATAAGCCCTTTACTGAGAGGGCATGCAGTGCGTCCTGCTACTGACAGTACAGACAAATCGTATCCACCTCTCTCTGGAATAACACGGTGTCAGTATATGAGTGGAGAAAGAGACAGGGACACACACCAAAATGGTGTCTGTAAGAAACTGTGGCTGGGTGAACATGGCTTTTTCTCTACTCAGGTCCCTAGCACAACAGAGTCGTGCTCAGTTCATTAACAGACGCAAAGTGGTAGTGCGGCTGGTCTTTCATGAGCACTCATGGGCTTCTTTCTCATGTATGTTACCTCTTTCTTTCTAATGTCAGATATGTCATAATTTCTTTTGGTCCTATGCCTACCACAATAATATTAAATGTTTCATATATGATTAAACGATCTTTTTCATGCTTTGACATCACGCTTATACTTGTCACCAGCTTGGAATATATGCACTAGTGGGCTTACACACATCCGAATGTCAACTTAAGAGCTATAAGGTTTGTCATTTATGCTCCTGAGTCACAAACTGAAGAAATATTTTCCAATGAAAACATGTCTTTATTTCCTCATATTTTAATATGAGAAGACTCATATTTAATATGAGAAGACTTTTGAAAAAAAAGCCTATAAATTCCAATGTAAGCAATTTAGCCTGGTAATTAACTAGTGTCCATATGACAATGAATATCCCCAAGAATCCATCTGGTTCTGGGTTCTGAGTAACACACTTATCAGGAATATTGCACTCATATTTCTCCGTGTTATCTGTGGTCCTCAGCCAAGACCACTTCCCTCACAGGGAGGGAGGGAGGGAGGGTGTGTGTGTGTGTGTGTGTGTGTGTGTGTGTGTGTGTGTGAGTGTGTGTAGACCACTTCCCTCACAGTATTACCGTGTGTGTATACGTGTGTGTGTGTGTGTGGAGACCACTTCCCTCACAGTATTACCGTGTGTGTGTGTGTGTGTGTGTGTGTGTGTGTGTGTGTGTGTAGACCACTTCCCTCACAGTATTACCGTGTGTGTGTGTGTGTGTGTGTGTGTGTGTGTGTGTGTGTGTGTGTGTTTTGTGTGTGTGTGTGTGTAGACTTGGCTGACAAAATCCTTCCTTACGAGGACTTTACTCAGGAACACAGACCAACTGGTCAGACACAGACCAATGAAGTAACCA